TTCCCTTGCCTTGGGAAACACAGACTGTGGTGTTCAGCTTCCCATCTGCTGATGCTCATGCCTGCGACAATCCTCTTCTGGCCCAAATGTGGCAGCTGGGCAGCCCTTAGGGCTAGCCCAGCCTGCATCCCTGACGCTTCTGCTTTTCTTGTGACTCTCCTGATCCAAGGCATTTCTGCATTTAACAAAATTCAGTTGACCTTGCAGGACTCTGTCTTGGTGGCAGGACTGGCCTGTTTCATTCCTCGCCCTCTTCTGTGCCTCTTCTGTGAGGACCTCAGCAGCTCCAGCTGCTCTTCAAAGAGCAACAGCTCCTTGATCACCTTTCCCTTACAAAGAGCCTCCCGAACTTTTAGTACTTGAACAACAACTCACCACTGCCTTCCCTTCAGGCGGTAAAATAATGAAATTATTTTGATATATTTTGATTTCATTATAATGAAATAATGACATTTCATTATAATGAAGTTTTGGGATGAGAAGAGCTGAATACAGTAAGAGAACTGCTCAAAATGCATCTTGACATGCATTTTGACAAGCACTGATTTTGAAGCTTGTGGTCCAGTGGATGAAGTGGTCCATCAACAGTCCTCAAAACTTTCATATAAAAACAGTAGGAGTTCCCCTCATTTTCCTTATTACCTGTTTCATACAAACTAAATCTTTTGCCCCAGCCGTGGCGCAGTGGCAGAGATTCATATCCATGGATACTCCCCCCAATGATTTATTTCTACTCCACAGCCCCCAGCTTTGGCAATGTTTTTCATTTTTCCTCTTTCTCTCCTGTTGCAAAATGTACTTTCTGAATCTTTTAATGTTTGGGGCAGAAGGGACATAAGGTTGGATGTTTGGTTAGGTGTTTTACAGCTTTCAGTGAGCGACGGGAGGGAGGTAAGAGGGAACGAGTCTCTGTGGACTTTGCAGTCCCTCATGATTGCACTGGGTTAGATCTACATCCCTCAGAGAACTCTCTTCAAAATTTGCATTTGCCACTTTTCTTCCTTTTTTTTTTTTTTATAGCCGACAGGCAGGAAGGAATTAGTGTCTGTGGCTGGATCCTGATTTCCCTTTCTTTCTTCCTGGTGCTTATTACGTTTCCTATTTCCATCTGGGCATGTATCAAGGTAAGCTGGTGGGATTTGGGGCACATAAAGAACGCTCTATGATCGTCGTTGTTACTTATGTTTATTGATTTATTGATTTTGTTAAAACAAGACACTTTATATTCACTTTTTGAAAATCGTAAGGGCTTGTAGCGAAGATGTGGTCTGGGACCAAGAGATCCATGTCCTTCCACTGAATTTCTGTATCACCACACTCACTCATTTAATTTCTTCCCATCTCAACTTCCATCGTCAGTTAAACTTCCCTGCTTTACAACAACACTAGGAGAATAAATATACAAACGTTTCTGAAGAACCCATATTTGTTGCCGGCAATAGTGATTAACATGGGTACTGATGAAAAACAGAGCAAGTCCCTGCATTGAGGGACTATACAACCTAAACCCACAGTCCCTTCAAGGCATGAGCATAATATGATTAATTTAAAGCAAATTTTTAGGGTGAGTTAGCAGAGCGATTGCCCTGAACACCAGGCCTTGAGTAGTCCTAATACACTAATCAAAGTAGTTAGGCAGATTATCTGAGGTGAGACATACTTTGCCCACAGCTCCTCTGAGCGTAGAACTGATGTTGAGAGACTTGTGGGTAGCCTCATTAGATCAGTGGCAACTCTTTCACATTTGATCTGCTTTGTAAAACATTTGCAGGGCCAGAGTCTGAGTTCTTCCAGCAAAGGATGAGGTGAGGAGAAGGCATAAAATGCCTAGTGACTTGCAGCTTTGCTGGTTCCTATATTATTTGTACTTTTTTTCACATTTAATACAGATGCCAAAGATGAAAAAAATCAGTCCAGGGAGCAGGAATAGAGTTAGCTGTAAAATTCTAAATTTAAAATATTTTCCTAGGTTATCAGAGAATATGAACGTGCTGTTGTATTTCGGCTGGGACGTATACTGTCAAAGAAAGCAAAGGGACCAGGTGAATGCATGCAGTTTTATTCTGTTAAGATGCACTGTTTTTATTTTATTACGATGCACTCTAACCACTTAGAGAATTGCAGAGGTCCATGAAATCCTTCTTCATAGCGCAGGGGGGATGAGATGGTCCTCTCTGCTGCAGTTCCTTTACATGCAAGCTGTTTGTTTTTCTGAAGAGAAGATAAAGCCACCCCCCTGTCACAGCACAACACTGAAGGTTGAGGACCTTGATAGCAGGTACGGCTTTGCTGTTGAGTAGGTTGGACAACGGAAGGTTGAGTTCATGCTGCAGACACTGGCGAGGGACCGGGGAGGTTTAAATGCAGTCTTCAGCTCTGCTGCAGACTTTTTTGGGTGACTGTGGCCACTCTCCCTGTACCTCACTTCCCTCAACACTGCTCATTGCTGCCAGCTCTTTAGCTGTCTCCTGCTCTGAAAATTGTAAATGTGTCAGCGCAGGGACACTCTGCATCTATGCAGAGTTTGTCACAGTCACCTAGGACAAGGTTACAAATCACAAACACAAACCAAACCCAACAACATGAGGTATTTGCATTGGTGCAGTTACCACCTCTGTGCAATGAAAGTGGGCAAACTGGAAGTGGAAATAAGAGGAAGAAGTCCTTTCCGGATACTGTCTTTCCTCTTGAACAATAGCCATGTGGTCCAAAGAGCAGCTAGGGCAGCTGCAGAGCTCTTCCGCGTGGCTCTGGGCACCTAATCCAGGTGCTGAGATTAGAAAAATTGTTATGTCAAGTCCCCTTCTCCAGCGAAGGGAGAGTGGGGACTCCTTCACAGGACGGGTCAGATCTTAGGACAATGTTCCTAATGTGGGGGCCTATAGATGGTGCAGGAATCTGGACCTGGGAGATGTCTTTCCTGGGGATGCACATACTGTACCATAAATGGCTTATGATCTAAAGAGGGGAAACTAAACAAAGGCATGGAAGGAGTTTTTGTCAAAAGTCTCATGGCAGATTTGAGACCAGAACTGCAATCTGCCCATTCCCAGTTCAGAGCCCTAGGCCGTTAAAGCTCCAATAAATTCACATTGTTTGCAGATATCTGCATTTCCCTCCATTATTTGAAAATGCAAAACCTCACTGTTGTCACATGCTGTAACAGAAAGGACAGCTGTAGTAATAAGGTGGGCTCATTCCCCACCCTGTGGATATTTCCATCTGTTTGCTTTGTACAGGATACCTGGCTCTAGACTTAGCTTTCAGAAACAAGTGTTTCATCTAATTATTTTTATTTTTCAGGTTTGATCCTCGTACTTCCATGTACAGATACATTTATCAAGGTTGATCTTAGAACTGTTACTTGTAATATTCCTCCACAAGAGGTAACTATTCTCTAGCAGCCATCTAAAACAGAAATAAAACATAGAGCTGATTTGTGGCACGATCAGAAATAATGTGGGTATTTATTATAGTCTTGCAGTTGTGAGCTACCGTATAGAATCATAAGAACTGTACTGTATCTTCTGACTTCCAAACTGCTTACAAAACTTCTTCTACGTATGAAAACGTGCACATGCATCATTGCAGGCCAAGCAAAGTCCTCTTGCTGACATTCAGAACCGTGAGATAAAAGATAAGGGTGGGGGTAGAAGTGCAAATGGGAGTCAGAGAGAACAAGAGAGGAGAGGCTAAAAATTCGAAATTGTATTGTTATTCCACACATGGAAATGAAGCAATAGACCAGTGTAAGATATCCAGAATAGAAAGTCCTAATAAAATTGGATCTGACATGCAGCTCACCATTTAAAAAAGCCTTCAGTGATGCTGTAGTCGCTGCTTAAAGGTATGCACACCCTACATGCTTCTTAAAAGGCAAATTACATATGGATAACAAATCTTCTTTAATTAAAAGGAATTAGCGGACAATCATCCACAAAACTCACATCCAAGCAGTGATGGAGAGGTGTATCTTTAGGCATTTTATTGACAAACATTGACTGAAGAATTTAGTCTGAAGAATCAGTTGCTGAGCAATTCCTGTCCTTCTGGAAAAGTTTTGATTGCGGCCCCAGCCCCGCCATGGTACAACGCTTCTGCTGGAGGAGTTGGCACTGCTGTCTCCTTCCTTATGCAAAGAGAAGAGCCACGGGGGGCGGGATGGCCCCAGGACTCCTTTGGTCCCTGGAATTGCCCATTGTGTTCCCCAGGAGCTGTTTCTTGGACCATTATCTTTCCATAATCACAAAAAGCCTTTTCTCAGAGTGCAGGTTGCAGGGGTGCGTGTGGTGGAATGAAAGATGGCTCCCCCCGAAACGGGAGGCTGGAAGGAAGGTGGTTGCAGTACAAGGCTTAGCAGCTTTTGGCAAGGCTTCTGCAGCTGTTGGCAGGGCTTCCGAGAAGCACTTACTTGCAGGCAAAAAGTGCTGAGGAGGGAAGAGGCAGTGGAGCATCATCAGTGCTTTGCCGAGGCCAACTGCCTGCTGAGGCACAGGGGACTTGTCTAGCAAAAAAATGACACAACTGCTCTGTGAATACTTAAATATTTTTCAGGGTTTCTTCTCACAATTTCTTGCACTTTGCTTTTCACTTTTGTTTTAATTTGCTGGTGTTTCTTACAAATACATTGTTTAGAGGAAGTAACGCAGATCTTCCAATCTGCATGCAATGTATAAAACCAGTAATAGCCCTTTCTGCCAGAAAGGAAGAGGATAACTGTCATTTAGTATTGCAGAAGAAATTCATGCAGGTTATGAGATTCACTTACTGTTGAAACAGTTGTCTAAAGGCTATGTACAACATTTTGCCCTGGCTTAAACTATTGGTGATGCAGGATAACTTCCTTGAAGTTATTTCTCAGGGGAATAACAAAGAAACCAAATTAAATTCTTAGTTTCCTTGAATTATCAAGACCTTTTCCTTATTAAGGGAAAAAAAAAAATTCCCCTTCCTTGGCCAGGGGTGTGTTATTGGATCCTTCTCTAATTCTGCACATTTCTCCAATGCAGATTCTCACAAAAGATGCCGTTACTACCCGAGTTGATGGGGTGGTGTACTACAAGATCCACAGTGCTGTCAGCGCCGTCGCTAACGTCACTGATGTCCATTCGGCTACCTTCCTCTTGGCACAGACAACCCTGAGAAATGTTCTGGGTACACAGAGCTTGGCTCAGCTCCTGGCAGGTCGTGAGGAGATTGCACACAGTATTCAGGTAAATCCGGCTCTCAAAATTAACTGACAAGCATGGAGATTTGTTCTGGGGAGTAGCAAATTAGAAATAATCTCTCTTTCTTTAACAACGATAGCAAAATTTTCCTTTATGGTTTTTTCAATTATACATCTCATTGCTTAGAGTCAGAGTCATTCTAATGGTATTTCCCCAGGTTCTTGTAGAAGAGTTATTTGCTACCAAAAAGCAATGAAGATTCTGAAATTATCCACTGAGTTTAATAAATCCGTTTAGTCTTTGTACAGAGGCTGCTGCAAGCGGCGAGAAAGAAGTCTGCTGCTTATGGGAGGCTCTATCTTGAGCAGACTTGATTGAGGTTTAATCAAGGCAGGGCTTGTATCTCCTGTCATAACAACTAAGAGTACAAAACCGAGTTGTTTTATGCTTTAAAATGCCATCTGTTTTCTTCTAATTTGGCAGCCAAGGAGGGAGCAGAGAAGAAAGCCAAAACCTGATTTACTCTTTTCAGTCAGAGAAGAGGCACAGTCAAATAAAAGAGAGCGTGCACCCCTCTCCAGCCAGGCCAGCAGCCACGGGCAGAGCGGGGGCACGGTGGTGACATGGGTTGCAGTAGCACCGGGACCCTGAGCACGGAAGAGCATGCCAGTGCTGCAGGGCTGTGCTGTGTCATTCACCCGTAGCATGCTTTTACAGCATCGTGCCATTTTAGGAAGCTGCAGTAGTATTACTTCGTAAAAGGGAGAAGTTTGGTAAGTGCCCACCTAAAGAAAGGATGGGGATCATAGTTTAGGAGACAGTAGAGAAGCCACACAGGAGACACTCTGTCTCAGACACCGGTGTTGATCAGCGAGAGTTTCATAATGTTGCGGTACCCGCCGTACGCACACCACGTTGGATGTCAGTGCCCCTGGAGGGCTCCGTCTTTCTGTTGTGGAGGTTTACAGGCTGCCTTTCCTTCTGTCCAAGTGGCAGGGTACATCGCGTGGTTTTTCTGTCTGTCACCACTGCCATCGTGGTGGGTTGTGTGTTTGTCCCTAAGGCTATCCTCGACAGTGCCACGGAGCAGTGGGGAATCAAAGTGGCCCGAGTGGAGATCAAAGATGTCAGGATTCCCGTGGCCATGCAGAGGGCAATGGCAGCTGAAGCAGAGGCTGCTCGAGAGGCAAGAGCTAAGGTGAGAGCCACAGCAATGTCTACCTCCAAGCTCCCCTATCCTTATTGCAGGCATCCAGGTGCCTGTTTGTTTTCTCCTCATTGTAAAGGTGGATTTTCCCCACCATGGGCAGTGTCACAATGTGGTTTCCGCTTCTCTTACTTTGCAGATTGTGGCAGCAGAGGGAGAAATGAATGCTTCTAAAGCCCTCAAGCAGGCCTCCATGGTGCTGGCTGAGTCTCCAGCAGGTCTTCAGCTGCGCTACCTGCAAACATTAACAAACGTGGCAGCAGAGAATAATTCCACCATTGTCTTCCCTCTCCCTATAGATATACTTGAGAGTTTCGGGCAGAAAAACAGAGGGGGATAGAGACTGTTCTACACTAGCTCCTCGGGCAGAAAGATTTAAAGGGTTTCCCAGGAAGTAAGGCGTTCCAGAATACCAGAATTTAAGTAGAAGCATGCTTTGGTCCTTTTTTACCTAATAAGGTAAAAATAGTTTAACAACTACATATAGCTCCCACATTAGGAAACTGCATTTGCAAAGTTCAGGCACTAAGCAGTTTCAGCTCAGACTCATCTCCAAGTGAAATGGAAGAAAATATGTAAAATGCAATAAAATATGTAAAATGCATGTTAGACATAATATGAAATTTTAATGATGTTTTCACCACATTTTACAGAGTCTTGAGTGGAGCAGTTATTTGGTGATTTGTCTGCTAAGCAAGAACCTCTGAGCTCTTGATGTACTCCACACAGCAAAAGGGTCAGATACTGGTATTTAACTCAAGTCCTGCGGAGTGGAAAGAAGTGTTTGGCCCATAACCTTAGAGGTATTCTTTCGCAACTATTAACAGAATTAGTGGATAATTGGTATGTCAGTAGAACAGCCTATTCTTTATCTTATGTGAGTTAAAATTAGCACTTTCTTCACTGACCTCAGCTGGATTTTGCCATAACACTGACATTTCTGTAAGCTCTGTAATAAAAGGAAGAGAATGTATGCCCATGCATTACAGTCACATTTCCTATATCTGGAAGCTGGGTGTGGTGGGTTGACCCTGGCCAGGTGCCCACCAAAGCCGCTCTATCACTCCCCTTCTCAACTGGACAGGGGAGAGAAAATATAATGAATGGCTTATGGGTCGAGATAAGGACAGGGAGAGATCACTCAGCAATTACCGTCACGGGCAAAACAGACTCGACTTGGGGAAA